TTTTCCAAAATAAAGTACGTGCCTTGTTAACTTTTTTAGAATTTAAGTCAATAATAAAAGTATTAGAATGAAATAAACATAAAGTATTTTTAGTTATTAGTCTCATCTTATTTAATCAAACTGATGAACAAACACTTGACTTGACCGTTAAGCAAATCATCTATGATACCTATAACCTATGAAAAGTCGCCAAAGCTTTTGCTATTCCTATCAACATCGGCGAAATAATGTCTCTCGTGCTTGAAAATACTGCCTTAGAATTCTAGGCTCCATAAACGAACCCCAAGTATGTCGCCCATTAGGACTAATCGATGCATCTGTATTTAGCTTAAAAGTTTCTTGAGGTCGTAACAGCCATACCAATTCATCTATGCTGTGATCTTCATTCTCTACTATCAATGTGTTAGAAGTTTCATTTTCCTCCAACACAAATACATATGATTTCTGAACCAAGTCAGATGAATCCATTAATAACCTCTTATGTACCATTGAATCTAAGCTTACCATAATTCTTATAATATCCGCATAAACCACACTCTCGTTTTCACATGATAAGAAGACAACCTTTCATTAATAAATTATTAAGATTATACAAACATGGAAAGCACACTGAAATGAGATTAACTGCTGGGGCAATGAGTATTAACTTGCAAAAGACTAAAACAAATTTAACACTACTCAAAAGCTTTTTCCTCATATTTTCTAAATTTCCTCTTTGTTATAGCTAGGAAGAGCTGAACTAATTATTTACAAATTGTTCTTTTTCAATTATATATTAGGGTCGGCTAAGGATTCATTACTTGGCCATCAGATTTGAATGTATAACAAATTTAATTGCCATTTTATTTTCTCACTCTTTTCTCACTAACTATCTCATTCTTGTTCATGCCACATATCTTGTTGCTATCTCCATGTTTGCATTACTTCCTAGCTATATAAATTCATATATATGCAGATATACAGAGAAGAGATAGAAAATACCCCTCTTAACTTTGACCTGACCCACGTATGCCATGCCCTCAAAAACTATCCGAGATCTCCATATTCTTACATACACTCTCGAATATTAAGGTGACCAATTGAATTTCTTTACTCTTGCTATTCTTTTTACTTTCATTAGTCTATTCTCTAAAATTAGTTCAATTTAAACGGTCCACCACTATATATATATATGTGTGTATATATATGTCGTTCTAAAGAGATGCATATGTATGAAACAAGTACGTTGTTAATTATACACTCCCAGGAAGACATCTAGAAGGCTTGATCAAAGACTAGTTTTGCAGAGAATTTAAGCATACATACTTATAAAATCCCTTCGCTTATCTCTCCCCAAAGCAAGATAAGAATAGTAAAAAGGTTTGAAGTTTCAGCCTCTCACCCTCTTCTTCTTCTCATCCTCTGATTCAAGAAGCTCCTCCAACACCTTATCATCCAAATACTCGAACTCGAATACCTGCCTATCTTGTCCAGCGGATGAACTTCCCTTCTCCACCCTCCTACCAGAATAAGACGATGAGGGTAGAGGACGATGAGGAGGAGACCCCATAACCTGAGTGTAGTATTCATTAGGGAAATTAAGGATTGCAAGATGACCTCTCAAGTTAAATGCAGCCCTATCGTAAGCACGAGCTGCGTCCTCTGCAGTGTCAAACGTCCCAAGCCACAATCTTGCACCATTTCTTGAAGGATCTCTAATCTCCGCAGCAAACTTACCCCAAGGTCTCCTCCGAACGCCACGATATCGGACACCCTGATCTTCCTTTCCTTTCTCTTCCTTTTCCTGTCTTCTGCTAGGCCCTTCCATGCCCTGAATGTAATTTAACAAGTAGAATATGTAAACATATACTAGCTCGCAACAGGTGTTTATTTGAAGGATACGTAACCTTATATACTTTCAGATGTAGTTGATAGAAACAAAATGTGAGTCTCAGTGCCTTGTGGGGTTACGTATATATATATATATATGTATATATATATATGTATAGAAAGAAAATGTGAGGTTGATTAGTTTTCACTTGCATGCCAAGTCATATTTGACGGTCTCAGTGGGGCCATATAGAACGTGGATTGACCATTTTTATTCTATTTCTTGGAAACTTCTTTAATTGTTAACGTTAGTGCTAAAAATCAAATTTGTTTTCGTCTTTCTAATGAAGAATTAGAGAGGGCCAATCCGATCTCTTTTCCTTGATTTGCATCTTGAAGCAGATATGCATTTTTCTTTTTTGCAATGTGATTCTGATTCCTATATATATCGTATAATATATATATATATATATATATATATAATTTGTTTAGGCAACGAGAATATAATACATTTTGTGGCGCAAACTGTTCGAGTCATTATGAACATGGGTTATGCTATTTTGTCCTTTGACCACAGGATTCAGATAATTAATTATGTCGTAATGGATATGCCATTTGATATTATATATATATATATATACCCCACTATATATCCCATGGATTTTGTTATGAATTGTAATACCTTGGGAACAATTAAATTCCATCGAATCAATGGGCATATTTGGTTATCGTGATAGAGTAAAAAATCCATACATATCTTTATATACCTATTGCGCATTTTATGGCTACATTAACCTCGACCTACTTTGTTCTTAGTTATAAAAATTAATAATTGTTGAAAAATCCCATTTTATGTTTTCAAAAATTAGAAGGAAAAAAAATAATCCTATTTGATAAAATCACATTATAAGTATGTCCTCCAAAATAAGTTTGTGACACTGGGAGGTAAATTTTCATAATAATTTTGATTTAAAACTAAGGTTATTATTTATATAACTTACTGTTAAATTAAACAAAATTAGTTTAATGAATAAAATCTCTAAAAACTCTTGTAATCCATAAACTCATATTTGTGAGAGTTTTTTTCTCCCTTGGATGGTTGGCATGCGCATGTATAATTCTCAAATGTCTTTCCTCCATGTCCCTTAACTATTCACTACTACAGTTCATGAAAGAAGAACTTGAGTCTTTCGATTAAAATTATCTTTAATCCTTGTTTGTGCCTATATAATGATCTAGATCGTCTAATATTTTACTATGTATTTAGTCTATGATTAATTAGTCAATCCTTGATTAAAGTTTTAAGATTAAGTCATATTAAATCCAACTAAACTCTTTAATGTGTTTAATTGAACTTTGAGAGGCCAATACTTTGTTAAAATCCTTTATGACTAAAATTGTTTTAACATTGCGAACCAATTGACCTTTGAAATCACTTTGAAGAATCATTTAGACTATTTCCAAATTTCTCCACATTGTAGTTATAATGCATTTTAAAGTTGAAGCCTCTTAACTCATTTGGTTCAATTATTTATTCAGTAATAGATTTGTCAACATTTTGATTTTAGTTTATTTCTACATGATTATATATCACATCTAAGTAATATTTCATGACGCTAGAATATATTAAAATAATAATTAAACATGTCTATAATAGTTTACTATCTATATTTGTTCATTCTATATGCTATATCTAAGAATGGCCAAAGATATAAATAGCTTCAAGTTTCAATAGTTAATTCGTAATATTTTAATCATTTAAGTCAATCATATGTTCAATAGAACTCATTTGTCACAATGCAATTACTAAATATTCAAACAAGGGTGTAGAAAGTAATTTCATAAGATACTACATTTCCTTTTAGCAATAGTGATAGATTCTTAATTATCACTTACATAATTTTATAGAGTTTAGTCATGTAATTGACTAGTGTAACCAAGATACTAGAAATAACACTAAATTTAATACCAAAGAAAAACTATTCATGTGTAAGCAACTTATTATGGAACTAGATTTATCTCACAATTATTATTATTTAAATTCTTGTTTAACACATAATAAAAATGTAATGCAAAAATCTAATTTTCAGGGTAGTCCAACAAACTTATTCATACAAAGTATGTACACATTACAATATCATCCATACAAGCGTTGAATGAGAATAACCTTTAAGTGTGTAATATATTGATGCAGAACCCGTGATCAACTAATATGATCAAAAACTCCGCATCTAACATCAGTATTCATAATCGTAAAACCTTCAACAAATCCTCTCTATTTGATCTATATTTAATACATGAATGTCAACCAAGATAATTAGGATAATGACTTGAATTGATTAAACACTACAAGACAGAACATTGATAAGTGAAACCAATTTAAGATAGATTGATAAAACGTTACAAAAATTTATCTTAATAAGTTAAATCAATTCTCATTCAACAAGAAAATTGACAAAATCTAACTAGTTGAAAACTAAAACTTCATAATTTTATTATTCTTAAACTTGAATGAATTACAATTGTGTGAGTTCTTAATCGCAGTTGATTAATTTTAGATTATGCATCACATATTATGTACTAATTTGTGTAGATTTAATGGTATCTATATTACATATTGATCTTTTAAAGAAAACTTTTTATAAATTATATTTATAAATATATATTCCATTTTCATGATCATATCATAACCATATTTTTATTATATGATATATTAAAAATTATGATGTAATGAATTTGATCATTCATATAAATTTACATCATAATGATAAAACATGAAAATTATCTTTTTTTAATTATTAACATAATAGTTATATTATCTTTGAAATAAAATTAGTACAATAATGTCCGTCATCCATAATATCTAATTGATTTATCAAATTTATTATTAGTAGCATTCTTCACTTGCTCTAAGCCAATCAACTTTGTATCTCAAATTACTATACTTCCTCAAAGTGTGGTTAGGCTATTGTTGGGTCAAAATTTTAGTGCGTGAATAACCTATATTATTCATTTTATCAACTCTTATAACAACTATATCTCATTCAATTATTTCTTTACTAATGTTGCATCTTCATAAATTATAGTTGGCCATTTGATACGACATTCTCTTTTTAAATCTTTTTATGGTCACATTTTT